GGGGGGGGGGGAGGTAAAGGATTAATCCCATCAGGGATTGCGCTAACAGCTTTTTTTTGTGAAACAAAATCTATAAGGAGTATTATAGTAGGTAATGTGAAAGCTTGGATCTACTCATCTCTCTCCTTTGTTCACAGATCATGACATTTCGATATATCATTAGCAAGAACTTATTATTTATATAAATAATAAATAACACATTAAAATCTAATTAGTAACCCATGAGTAAATAATCAATGAAAGAAATATTGAAAGATATGGTGAGAAAAAATGTCTCGTCTCAGAGATGGCGATACACAGAAATAATGGACGAAGCTCTCTATAACATCATTGAACTTGGCCTATATATTAGTACTTTGATCTATCTAACCGCCAAGGACAAAACGATCAACATGTATGAAATAGTCCTTAACAAATGAAACAGATAAATTGTGTTTCACATTTTATTCTTGAAAAATTATACTGAAAGCTTTTTTGATAAAACATTAGGATAAGATTCTTGTGATACATTTTTTTTTTCATCGAAAAATGTTCTTTTACAAATTTCATCTCTTTGCTATTCAATTTTTTTTTTTTGAGTACTGAAAATTAATATTTCTTTCAAAACCAAAAGCTTTTGCGATGGAAAATAAGTCATGTCTACGTACTCTATAAGAATTTCCTATTGTATCCTATATTTTAACATACTCTTTTAAATCTTATTTCAAAAAACATAGAATATTAATTATCTTACCTGAACCCAACTAAATCCAAAATCATAATAAGGAAAACCAGATTGTGATGGTGATGGTACCCAAAATCGATCTCTTACATATTTTGATGATGGTGTCAATGAAGCATTTTGACGAATTTTATATATTGTATTCGGAGGCAATGCAGTATCATTGATATGAACATTAGTAAAAACTATACTAGCTGTAACAGTATAATTATCCTGATATGCTTGATGAAGAAAATATTCTACTAAATCATTTTCATCAGCAAATCCTTTAAATATATTTAAATTAATTCCTGATATAAGACTTATCCAACTACAAGCTGATTTATCAATTGTTGTTATTTGTTTCATATAATTATCAATTGATGGATCATTTAGATTTTTAAATATATTAACAATTTTATTCATTGATGATAAATTTAATAAAGGACCGAATTCTTCAAGAAATTTTTTCATCTAAATTAAATTTTTTTATTAATTATAGAAAAAGAATTATGTATTTTTCTTTGTCTTTATTTGTTTATTACTCGTCTTAGTGATTCAACTTTTTTTGCTGTACCATTTGCAAAAAAATATGTTTTAAGAACATTTGATACATTTCTCCATTGATATGCATAATTAGTTATTGTATCAAATAAAGCAAATATTGAATTAGCTTTTGATATAATACTATTAATTAATGTTGAATTTGGTGAATATAAAACTAGAGAATTTTCATAAAGAAAATAAAATAAAAGACCTAATTCTCGTAGTTGTTGATCTGATATTCCTAATTCAGCTAAAAAAAAAATAGATAAAAAATTAAATTAATCTTTTTTTTATTATATATAAAAAATTAGAATATAAACCAAGATCAGGTAAATGATCATCATTTATTGGTTGATTTGGATCAAAAGTTGTATTTGGTTTAACACCACAAATAGCTTCTAGCATTCCAAGCCATAATGGATAAAATCCTTTTTTATTTTTTAATTTATTCATTACAACTGATTGCTATAAATATACGAAAAGAAAAGAAGTTAAATATAATTCTTACTATTACATTTCAATTTCAAATATGAAAATCATAAAATATCAAAAGTATAGTTCGGGTCTAGAAAATTTTAATCAACCGAGTGCAAGTCTAGATCCAGAGTTTTTCGACTTGATGGGCTCTTCCCATAAAAGATTAAGCAATCACGTTTGTATCCAGAATTTTGATCGAGTAAGTTTGAGCTCGGGTCGAACAAATTTCAATCGGTCTAGTCCTGGATCCGATAGGCTTTAACATAGGATGTGGATGTGTTGAGGGTGCAAGAAGAGCTACAGTAACACTCACACCCATCTATTATATTTACTTTTTCTATCACTTAAAACTAAATGTACTAAAAATTGTTGATGTCTACTTTAGTTTTCCATTGTACTATCACAAAAACAAAAAGAACTGCAGATAATTTATGAACTGATATTTTTTTCATATATCTTATTATAGATTTCCCGACCATTTTTTTCGTATCAACCAATTATTTTAGATCGCATGTCATAAAAAGTCATTAGATGTGTGGTTTTTTTTTCTGAGAGATTTAAATATTAAAGAAATATGAATTAAATATGTATCATACAGAGAAATAATAATTTGTTTTTTGTTTTTCTGTCCTAATAATAAGATTATGTTTCAAGATTTTGAAATTAATTTAATATATTTACCATATTTTCAGAGAAAGCTACAGCTGATGGTGATGTGGACCTTTCAGTATTATTGTGTTCATTAATATAACAAGAATTGGTTCGAAGATGTTTTGCAAGATCATATAAATCTTTTAAACCTTGTTCAAACAATGCATATTTTTCAAGCTACACATCAAAGAAGAAAATCTTTTCAATCAAAAAACGAAAAGAATTTCTAATTTTTCTTCTTTACTTGATTAATATAATCATCAAATTCAAATAACATTGATGATAATTGTTCGTATACTAATTGTACCTAAACAAATTTTTTGTATACATAAAAATTTAAAAATATTACAAAAAAACACAAAATTTACTATAACAATAAATTGTTCATCTGATATTAAATTCATCATAAGATTTGATAAGATTTGATATTGTTCATTTGACATATTACATAAACGTTGTTGTAAATCAGTCTAAATTCAATTATAATTGTTTACAAAAAAAAAGAAAACAATAAAATAATTATTTGTACTATATTAATAACTGTTGTATTAAATTGAAAAATTAAATGAAATTTTTCTATTGAACAAAAAAATTCTTTTAATGTTTTCCGATGAAATAATATTATCTAAATAAAAAAATAAATGAATATTTAACTTAAAAAGATAATGTATTATTTTACTTTAATAGTTTTTACTAATAAATAAACTTCATGATTAGTTAAATTTACATATGAATTCATTGAAATAATATTATCAATTAATTGTCGTACATTGAAAAATTCTTCTGATTTAAATGATGTTTTTAAAAGTAAATAAAAATTTTCTTTGAAATCTTGAAATAAATATGAAGAAATATTTGGTATCTATTTAAAACAAGAAAAAAAAAATTTCTTAATTAGTTTCAATTCAAAAGAAATAAATGTGGTCAAATTTTTTTTTTCTTACTTGATTAACATCTATCACTATATTATTTAATAGATGTTCACATTCATCGTTTGTATAATTAAGTTGTGTCATAAAAAATGAACAAAATATTGTTAGATGTTTAGTAAATGAATAAATTAAATTTGATAATCTATCATAAATAAATGTCGGACGATCAATTAATGTTTTATACATAGCAGGTAAAGAATTAATATCAAACGTGGGAACATTTCGTGTAAAAAATGGATTTGTTCGAGAAATTCGATCAATTGTTATTAGTATTTCTGTGGACCTAAAATAAAATGAATTTTCTTTGTTTTTTTTGTTTAATTAAATTCCAATACATACGATCCATTGGAAAAAATACTAAAACCTTGTTCATTATTAGGAGCTGTTTTTGGACAAAATGATTGAAGAATTGAAAAAACTCCTGCCGATGGCAAAGGTCTAGCACGATATGTATGATCAAGAAAATTTGGAGTATAATTGGCTAAAGATACAATAATGAATTTGTATTTTTTTTCTCTGGTCAAAAACAAAAATTTACTTCGTAAATGAAATGATGCTGGTTGAGTTTTTCGTATCGCAGTCATGATAAGAAATAGAACCAATGGAATGATAAGTTCGAATAGAAGAAAGAACTAATTAAATCAACTTTATTCATAAATAAAATTATTATTGAAAATAAGATTCAATTCAAAATTCTTGTAATAAAAATTATTCCCATAACAGAACTTTAAGTTGG